TGGATTGGGTCAGCGTCAGCGTCAGTGATTAGGCCGGCTCACGACATGTACCATTCATGCGAGCGCACGTGCTCTGACCACCAGCGACCGTTCCCGCGCTTGTCGAGGGGAGTACATATTCTTGATTGCGAGCGAGACATAGGCGTGGGTGCGCTCGCTTACTGATTGCCCTTCAACCAATAGCGGTTGAGTAGAGCGAGCATATCTGACCGTCTAGCACCACTTTGGTGCACCGTTGACTCGCGCTCATCGAGCAGAATGGTTGGTCTTGCGAGTCACGTGGTACTTCAGTGCTCGTGAGCCATGCAGCATGCAGCGGAGACTGGCACGGGTCGCACGATCAAGAAGGGGGCGGCTAGCCCGAAAGAGGAACAACTGCGATCCCGTTGCGGTCATTTCGGCAGCGCACGCGCTCTGCTTTCTCTCCACTAGGGCAGTGTACAGGTACCGGTACAGATGGCCACCTCGATCCATGAGACGCTTTAGCAAGTCAAAGTGGTAAGTAGTCGTGCCCTTCAACCAAGCCCTATTTGCTGTCAAGCCAACGCCAACGAGGCTCTCGAGACATTCGATAAGCCGCGCCATTCGCTCTCGCCTCCCACTTCATCCTTGCTCTCAACATCATCCTCTGTCCAGCCCAGTCTACTCTGGCACTCTTGCTTGAGCGTGCTCAGAATGTCCAACGCCGCATCTCTCGATACCGAGTCGGCCCCTCTGCTGGCTCAATCGGACGCGTCCCAACCCAATATTGAAGCTGGCCATCTCTCTCCCACCACGGCCCTCCACCCCACCACCATTCTTGCCCTGACCATCCGACTGCAAAAGCTTCTAAACGACTTCATCACTTTTGAGTTGTCGGAGGACAGAATTACGGACAATGAAGGGATCATCGAGCCTGCCGTGGTGGATACTTTTTTGAGAGCGAGTGGCGATCTGCCCGAAGCGGTGCCGTTCGCCCTGCTGAGAGCCAGAAGGAATTTCAACAGGTGAGGTGGTGACAATGTGTGCTGCACATGCTCATCCCAAGCACCCATTCACTGAGATCTCTGCATTTCGATGCGCAGAGATGCCTCCTCTCATCGCTCGCCAGAACTATCGGCATTGAGAGCCCTGGCTTCGGAAGTGCTAGCGACTCGCGTAGTGGCTCGTCTTGAGTCGGATTATCATGCCAAACGCGATAGGGCGGCGCAACAAGCTGCTACCCAGGCCGGTGTACAGGGTCAGCCCGCTATACCCCTCGATGAGCCTGCCGCTGGGCCTTATGCCTCTGAGCAGTCTCATCTTTGCATCAGCAAGCGTTTCGTCACGCTCGAGGATGATGGGGACGAGACGCTGCCTACCAGTGCGCTCGAAGAAGCAGCAGACCAAAATTGGTGAGCATCGAGCAGTCGCATGAAGCGCTGGGCTGAAGGACCGGGTCGCGTCATCTTGATGCGCGTGTGCTACCTTTTCACCTTCATCCGCAACTTTTCCATGCACCAGCGTCATCTTCCTAGCCTCGGCCCCAGCGAGCCATTGTGCAGAGGCTCTATGGGCGGGTCACTTGGTCCAGTCGTACGCTCAAGATGGCAGCGTACATTTCGTACCGTACCACAGTGTGGAGTCAGGCTCCTTCCTGACTCACCTGGATCCTTCGCGGCTAGCAGTGCCAAGGAACGCCTACTATACCTCGATCAGCATGCATATGGTCCTGCTCTTCCTCTACACTATGACGACGCTCGAGTACAATGGCTTTGATTTCTGGGAAGGAGCCTTCTGGATCTTTGCAGCTTCATACGTGCTGGAGGATCTGGTCCGTTGGATCAAGATACGAGGGATCGATAACCTCAGCTTTTGGTTGATCGTGGATCTCTTGACCGACGTGGTCTTTATCACCTCTTTCTTCCTACGCGTATCGGGTTGGGTCAATCACGGCGATCATAGGAGCGAGCTGCAACTTTCGGGCTTTAGACTATTAGCATGCGCTGCTCCTCTGCTCTGGATGAGTCTTCTCAAGTGGGGCGACGGTCTGAGGTACTTGGGAGTCATCCAGATCGTCCTGCTCAGAATGCTGAGAGAGACGGCTGCTTTCTTTGTCTTGCTGGGCCTTACCGCCATAGGCTTCGCCCAGTGCTTGTTCGCCCTTGATGCGGCTGATGGGAGACGAGTGGACAATAGCATTTCCCTGGTTGCTAATATCCTCGCTAGGGCTCCCTTAGGTGACGCCTCGTGGGACACTTTCGACTCTGAGCAATTTGGCCAGCCGTATGGACTCATCATGTTCTACCTATACGTCTTCACTCAGGTGAGTTGTAGGCTCCGAAGGGGAGACGCGGCTTCTGCCATTTATCTCGCTGACGGGTTCACCGCACCTCCATCCACAGGTGTTGCTATTGACCAACATCCTGATTGCGTTTTTCGGTCAAGCATATGGAGATGTGGTGGAGACGGCAGACGACTTGTTTGCTGCGTACTTTGCGCAAAAGGTCGTAGGAACGATTCGAGCGCCTGATCAATATGTCTATCTTCCGCCCTTCAATCTGGTAGAGGCGTTCCTGATAGCTCCTCTGGAGCATGTCCTTTCCTCGAAATCCTACGCCGCTCTCAATCGAGCTGTGCAGAGCACGATATATGCGCCCGCGCTGCTCGTCATCGCGCTCTACGAGAGCAGGTTCGACTCGAAGCAGATGAGAAGGATCAAGCTTGAAATGCTCGATAGGGTTCCCGGCCTGCACTTGGGCGAACGAGAGGGAATGGGGAGGGTCAAGGGAACTGCTGAAGACCCCGAAATTAGCGATTGGGATCGCAGCGCTGCGAGCACATCGCGCGAAGGAGTAGAGCGTGTCCCCATTGTGCTTGCGAGAACTGCATACAAGGATCTGCTCGGCAAGCTGCCCAAGATACGCAAAGAAGACAATGACGAGGGGCAAGAAGAGGAGACGAAGGAACAGCGCGCGGACAGCTCGAGCGGGGCCAAAGAGCTACCTGACGACGCGCTCAAACTCATCCTGGCTGAACTTCAGGCTTTGAGAAAGGAAGTGGAGGAGCTGAAGAGATCGACGGCTAATGGTTCAAGTGGAGCTGAGCAAGTCAAACAGGAAGATTGAGCTTTGCGTGGATGAGACCGCCGTTCATTGGAGCGACGCTTGCTACTAACCCGGGACCCACGCGTAAGAGATCGATTGCTACTGGCTCACCTGGAGGCGGGCGAGTCAAACAGGAAGATTAAGTTTTGCGCGGATGAACAGTCACCTTCCGAGGCGACGCTTGCTCCAGACGCACACACGCGACCTGGCTTGAAAAGGCAAGCTCGGTCATTCGGATGGAGAGCTTCTGCGAATTCAGCTGCTGATGCGGATCCCCCCTCACAATTTCCCCTCCAATCGCGAATGCTACTTTCGGTCGATGATAATGCGATCAAATGTCCACACGCGTTGTTCTGTCGCATTGCTGTTGAGCGGCTGCGCAGAGAATGTACGCTGGCACAGCGAACGCTTGAAGCACAGTGCTCTTGGACTGTCATGATTTCCCTGTTCGATTGACGAGCGATCATGAGACACCTTTCCGTTGTTTATTGCAGCGGTCGAAGCGAAGGCGCACAAGTGGAGGTTTGGCGCGTGCGTGCGCTCAAAAGCCGCCACGCCCACGCCCACGCTGCTGCTGCTGCTGCTGCGACGCGCACGGGCTTGGCTGCGATCCTCGCGTTCAGCTGCGTTTGGTTTCTCGACAACGAGACTCGCTACCATCACGAATCACATTGGTCGTGGAGAGGTAAATGCACGCTGCCCAGCTTGCTCGCATCCCATCGAGGCTCGGCCATTCGCGTTTGATTTTCAGCTTCGAGGCTCACGCCTTCCACATCGTCTCCATCGCATAGGCAGCAAGATGACGGACGCGGATCGTGTGGCCGTTTCGACCTCTTCGAGCGCCTCGAGCACGACCAGCTACTTTCCCATACCTCGATGGGTCGCTCAGATATTCATGCGTTTCCCCTTGGTTCTGCACGACTCTGCCAAAGTCTACGATCCGCCTTCTCAAGTCCTACCAGTCTACGGTGTTGGTGTTCCCAGCTCTTCCTCTTCTTCTCCTTCCACCTCCAACCACCACACCGAACTCGAGCAGCAGCAAGAATCGTTCGCTGGGACTTTGTATGTAAAACGCTGGCACCCTAGACCTAGACATGGTAGAGATGGTAAGAGAGAGGACAAAAGAGGCTGGGCTAGCTCGGATGTGGATTGCTTGGAGGCGCAAATGCTGCTCTTGGCTACGCAGAGATCATTTCACGTCATTTACTTGGAGGATGAGGTGGATGAAAGCTGGGGACCTGGCGGTGAGTACATCTGAGGGGCGCACGTCTTACACATGCGAGCAGCTTGCGGGCGTGATTGGCTGCAGACCGGCTGTATGCTCTTCCAATCAGGTCTGCTGAGCTCGAAACACCTTCTCGTCTTGGTCACCTGCTTCGTCCAGGCGAATTACCTTTTCTGCAAACTTCTACAGGTGGTTTGATCAGCGAGAAAGATGTCAAGAACCATCTTGCCTCTTATTTGCCTCATCAAGACAGCGCGCGGGAAGCGAGTGCGAGCCTTTCCGAGAAAGAGATGCTTGCAAGCGAATCTTCGGCTGAGCCGTACGAGGACGCAGCGACGCTGCACGAATCGTACGCTTGGGCATCGCTCATCACGAGGCAAATCTTAGCTGGTGTTGTAAGTGACGCGAGAGATGACGGTACGAATGCACAAAGCTTTGGATGGCGCAGCTCACACCTCGCTTCGAACACGTCCACCCAGCTCCTTCTTCAACTCCACACCCGAGCTCTCGCACCTCCCAAAGCAAAATCCCACGGCTTCCTCTCTGCACCTCTGCACTCCCGTCTGGCCCACAATCGACGTCGTCTTCTTCAACGAAGAATATCCAACCTATCCCATAGCGACGCTTCTTCCGCTTCTTTCCCTTTAAGCAGAGTGCCAGGGTGGGGAATGAGCTTGAGCTTGGATGGATTGTTGGGATCGGTAGCGCTACCTGGCGAAGAAGAGGATGAGGCAGAAGAGGGCGGACAGAGAGGGGCGTCCCACGGAACAGAGCTGAGCCTGCTGGAGGAGAGCCGAGTATTTAGCCGGGCGAGCGAGGGAATCAGAGCTGTTGCTCAGAGATTCGAGCAGCAGGACGATCGAGATGCGGCGCAACGAGTTGGCAAAGCACGCGAGAGCAGAGATGCGCCCATCAGATGGTTCTTGGGCGCCAAGTGAGTTGGACTCGACGGGCGCGGCAAAGATTGCTCAAAAAATCTCAACGTCAGGAGCGCTCGCTCTCTCTTTGAACTGCAGACGCGCGACGCCATTGGATTGCGCGCTCTTTGCGTGCCTGCACACAATCCTCTCTCTGCCCACATTCGCACCCAGAAACAGCACTCATGACCAAGCAGCCCGCTTTGGTGAGGGGCAAGAGCAAGATGAGGCGCAGGCGGATCTGAGAAAGACGATAGAGGATCACCCGGTGCTTTTGAGATGGACGAGAAGCGTTTGGAAAGAGAAGGTGAAGCCTTTGGGAGGATGATTCAGGTCGGTTGGTGTAGCGAGCCTGACTGTACGTTTACTCTGCATGTTTGCGGAATGGACCGCATCATCATGGGAACCCCCCACCTACGCCGCTGAAGATTTTCCACGCGCTCGTCGTCTGCGCTCCTCAAACGAGCTCTTGCCCCTCACTTGACCCCACGCGCTCGGGTCGATCACGAATCGCTCGGGCCTGCTATCATCGAACTCTATGCATGTAGTTGCAATGCGGCGAGAAAGACCGAGAAGCGTCTGTTGTGGGTGTATGGAGAAGCACGTGACCCAAAAGAGACGGCGAGTCCTCTCGCGATCAAGTGGTCTTGAAGCCAAAGATGACGCGCGCGATGCTCCTCCCGCCTCATCATCTTTTCGCTGCTGCTGCTGCCCTCTTCGCTTCGAGCTCCGCCGCTTCCTTTTCCGCTTTGGCCTTTTCGAAGGCCTGTCGAACAAGGAGATAAGAAGTTCGTCAGTACATACGTACGCA